GTGTTAGTTAGGGCTTAGTTTGCTGCTTTTAATTCAACATTTACTGACAAATGAAAAGATTGTGCTGCCGATATTCCCAAATGGCAAGCCCGTGCCAACTATGATCATTTTGTTTATTTATTTCACTAATATTTGATGGGTCTGAGCACAGAAGATTTCTGTATCGTATAAAGAGAGTCTTATAGCGAACCTTAAATTAAATAGCATTTACAGTGTGTGGTCAGGTGTTTCCTGTGAGCATTGTAAGCAGACATGTTGAACTGTGCTGTGTGTTGTACCTGCTTTCAAAAAGTATTGCACCGCTGTGGCTTCACTGTTGACCTCAGGTTCGCTTCAGAGCAAACAGCCAAGCTGCGATGTATCTGATGTTGAGGGGTAATAAGAGATTATTCATTGAGTGGGAAAAAAACTAGTTCACCAGACTTGAGCTACATAATAAATATATTCTAATTGCAAACAATTACGAATGCTTAAAATCTGACTATTCAGGAATCATACAGCAAATGCTTTTGTGGAAATATGTATGTTATTATGTAACTTGTTGTTTTACAAAATAAACACAAAAAGTGATGACATTTATTTTGATCGTGGATATGATGGGTAAGGGTTTAAATATTGTAGAAAAATAATTTGCACAGCACAACATCATGGTTTCTTCACAGTGGGAGGTTGTACTTTTTAAATATGAATACATTATTTTGGAACTAAGTAATCCAGTAACTGATATTAATTAATAATCTACAGATTTTACTTAAATTAAGTTTATTATTTAGTAACATTTTAGATTCTCCCAATTAATTCACACCACACAATTTGACACATTTCCAGAGAACATTTTTTTTCAAAATGACTAATGATTGAATATTTACTTATTATTTAAAGAGCAGTTCTTTTCAGGAGAACTCTTCTGTAAATATACCACAGCATACCACTAACTCACTTTTACCTGAAATTAGAGCCAAATTACAGCAGTTGTGCCTGGATTTACCTGAAAATGATGTGGAAATTACAGAAAATAAAGCACACAATTTAATTAATTACATTGTTATCTCTCCAGACATGTCCGTCCAATCCTTTCCTATTATTTACGTCTGTCCCAGTCTGCATGTCCAATATCGGATGTTGTTTTCAAGTGGGATCTAAATAAATCAAGACTGATAATTATCTCGGTTCACATAAATGCAGGTACATTAATATCAAAGTGTTTCCTTAATATCAAAGCATGAAATCACAAAGACACCACCAACAATTCTCCCCTCTGTCTGAATGCAGCCTCAAAATGAAGAAACAAAATGTAATTTAATTAAGTGTATCTAAAGGATCTGAGAGACATTTTGTATTTATATAAATGCACAGTTGATTTTCTTATCATGGAATTGTACTATCATTGAGATTTGTTTTACTTTGTGCATTTTTGTTTTAATAACACTTTTCTGGCAGATTAAATAATGTATGGGTTTCAGAGGGTTGAACTAGATCTGTATTATATAGGTGACAATTATTTGATCCCCACAGTAGCAAAGTCAATAGTAACTATGTGTCCCGCATGTATAAAATACTGTATGTACTGTATGTTGTTTCATTCATGATATTCATGAAGATAGAGGGCAAAGCACTGTGGGAGAGATGGATGGTAGAAAGACTGAGAAACTTTTACTTTGCAATTGCCTGTAAGTAAATACAGTAACAATGTCAAAATGTGAGGGTTGTTGGGCCGGGACTAATATATGAATAAAGAATGTACATCACCGCTCAACAGTATCTCAAAGTGTCTGTTGAGAGAGAAGTGGAAGTGCAAATTATTATGTTTATTTATTTATTCAAGATGTCATTCAAAGTCATATTCCCGGATAAGCTGTCATGCAAACGTTGAATGCTTTGTGGATGATTTGCAGCTCAAAACAAGTTAAAGGGGCCCAATTATGATTTTTGGGGGTTCCTCTTTCCTGTAATGTGTTATATAGGTTTTTGTGCATGTAAATGGTCTGTAAAGACAATAATGTCAAAGTTCAATCCAGAGGGAGTTTCTCTCCCACAAATCCCCTGCCAGAAACCCCTCCATTGGACTCCTTTGTTTAGTTCAGTAACATTATGACGTCACTATGTAACACTTACGCTTCTGTTGGCTAGCGCTCGAACATTGTACGTGACAGGCTAAGGGGCGGGACATCTCTAAGTGGTTGACCAATACAGAGCCGGCCAGCTAACCAATCAGAGCAGACTGGGCTCTGGTTTTAGACAGAGGGTGAAAAGAGGTGCTGTTGGTTAGCTGGCCGGCTCTGTATTGGTCAACCACTTAGAGATGTCCCGCNTTCGCTCCAACAACACCAGGCCTCGTCTTCTCCAAGAAGAGGATCAGGGAAGATGACTCCAGCGACTCGGCACTCTCCACATCGGGCCCTGGCTTCTCTACCAAGAGGGTCAGGAAAGATGACTCAAGGGACACGGCACCCTCCACCTTATGCTTATGCTTATGCTGCCCCATGGTGCCCCTTTCTGTCCAGCAGCGCCCACCCATGGCTTTTTGGCAGACATTTCACCCTTGTGGCGTTGCCCCTCTGGAGGATCCTGAGCTGCAAGTGGAACGTCCTGAAGCAGCTCCATCCTCAGCCCCTCCATCGACATCAGGCTTCTCCATCAAGAGGACCTGGGAAGAGGACTTTAGGGACTCGCCAACCCCCACCTCAGGCGTCAGCCTCTCCAGCAAGAGGATCAGGGAAGAGGACTTTAGGGACTTGACACCCTCCTCCTCAGGCCCCTGGCCCCCCATGGACAAGAGATACCGTCCAGAGGACCACAGGCTCCCTGAAGGATTTGAAAACCTTTGCGTCTGGCAGGACAGATGAAGCCCCAGGCAGCTTCAAATACATCTTTCTGGGTTGGCGATAGGTCAAATCTTGCACCAGGGCTTTATTTTATTAATATGTAATTTTTCATTTTGACTTTATTTTCTTTTGGATAATAATTGTTGATGGTTGATGTTCATACCAGCTACCCCGCTCCCCCTCCCTCAGCTGACACGTCTTGCTGGTTTTGTGATAGGTCAAAACTTGCATTGGGTTTTTATTTATATATTACTGTCTTTTTTATATTATTTGATAATGGTCAATACTAATACCAGAGGTAAGAGGAAGAGGACGTTGTAGACGATGGTGATGCCGACATCGGACGTCTCTCCCCTCTCGTCCAACAGCTCCCACCTGCAAGTATTTGGAAGGCATGGTGCCAGAAATGTTCTCCTACCTATCCCTCTGGACCTCCTGCTACAGGATCTGAAATCCTTTGCCTCGAAGCTCTAGCAGGACTGATGAAGCCCCAGACAGCTTCAAACACGTATTGCTTGGATGATAGGTCAAATCGCCAGGGCTTTTATACATACATTACTCAATTTTATATATCGTTTTTACTTATAAAAAAAATGTGATGATGGTCGATGCTGATACCAGAGGTAAGATAACATGGTATGGTTGTGTGGTCTTTCTTTTTAAAGTATAGATGGCTTTACAAGACAGGTAAGTAAATAGTTTAAGAAAGTGGTTAAACTAATTCAAGCACATTTACTCAAGTAATGCTCAGTTTTTCTAGGTGCAACATATAGTGCTAAAGCAGTGACTACTAACGTCACGAAAAGTCTCCAAGTCTCTTTCAGGATCTCTAACAGGTCCCCAGCATTACACACGCTGCATCAACCTCCCTACAAGAAGCAACTCCGTGGAAGACTGAAACTCAACATCCAGGATGCTCAGAGGAAGAGGATGAGTACTGCAGACCCGACCAAAAGAAAGGATGACAACTGATGAAGAGCGAAGGTCGTCTTTTGGGGCTTAGTAAGTGATCCCCTCACAAGGATTGTATTTATTATAAGAGCTTTATCAAATTTTTCCATCATTGGAGGTTACATTTAACAGCTTGCAACAGTTCAGAGGTTGCATATTTGAGTAATTATTATTTGTGT